AGGAAGGAAGGAAGGAAGGAAGGAAGGAAGGAAGGAAGGAAGGAAGGAAGGAAGGAAGGAAGGAAGGAAGGAAGGAAGGAAGGAAGGAAGGAAGGAAGGAAGGAAGGAAGGAAGGAAGGAAGGAAGGAAGGAAGGAAGGAAGGAAGGAACAAACGAACGAACGAACTAAAAGACAAACTTGCTGCTGACGGTCAACTCATCTGACTGCAATGAACTGAAATGTCTTCTTATCTATTTCATGTTTAATAAAAGTCTGCATTTACTTTTCTGCTTGCAGTCATCCCCTTTACTACCGGGGACTAGGAAGGAAGCTGTAGCTAAGCCAAAGGTTTTACTTAAGTAAAAAGGAACAAATAGACCCAATGTGAATCCTAAACCAACCAAGAGCTACAGACTCATGTTCTGAAATTAGTAAGTACTAAATGTTTCATCACAATCGATACTGAATTTGACACATAAACCAATTTTTACCCGGGACAAACCATAAAATTACCCAGGACAAACTATATAATTAACCAAGCACAAACATCTTCTATCGATTGGTAATTCACTCATGCCAAAAGTTAACTAAAACAAGGCAAACGGACACTTAAATGCCAAGTACCTAACATGAAAACGTGTTTTGTGGTATTTTGCCACAAAATGATAGATGTCACATGTGCCATGACTACGGGCACATAGAGAATCGTGATTTCCCTTGCCTCCGGACTCGTGGTTAAGGCCCAGTTAGATAAACCAGGCTGGGTTGAGCGTGTCCTGAGCCCGTGCCATGCTTGCTTCTGGTTTAAGAGGAGTCACAGAATCATCTCAGTTGGAAAAGACCTTGAAGATCATCTAGTCCAACTGTTAAAGTGAGAGTCGCCAGGGCAGACATCAGCGCAGCGAGGGCAGCCTCGCTGTGCCACCAGCCGCGGGGGCAGCGCCTACAGCGTGTCTCATCCACCCTTCCGATGCCAGAGAGTGGTCTTGAAGAACGACATAATGATTGTAACTTCAGTAAGACCAGGCCTTTATGTGTTAGAGACAAATGAATTGGGGAATAGAACGCCTGGGGTCTGAACAGCGTGACCCCAGTGAGAGCTGCTGAGGTCCCGTGGTGGAAAGGAATCTGCTGATGTTGAAAACTCACATGAATTTTAGCACAAAGGAATGAGAAAGCAACATATATCTAATCGCCTGTTTGGGGAAGGCTAGAAGTCAGTCACCCAAGAGTGAATTTGGTATATTTTGCCTTTATTCAGAAATATCTTGATCTGCTTCAGTTCAAGAAGGTGATCTAGGAAAACATCCATCAAGTACTACAGATCTCTTGACATCAGGAACGGGCTTTCTTCCTCTGCAGGAAATTCCTGCCTTGGGCAACAGGAGGAATGTGAGAGATTGTGAACTAGCAAACACCTGGAAAACCACCCAACATTCCAGATGTGATTAACAGCACCTTGGAGGGTGCTGGAGAGACGTGGATCCCTGAGACGACTGGTTAACAGACCCAGAGCAACCGGCAGTCAGACCACTGGGGGATCAACATCGAGGTGACCTTAGTCTTGCCCTATTTTGCAAAGATTAGGGGGCAAAACCTGAACTGAGTTGTGATAGTTTCAGCCTGAAAGTATTTCCTTGCACTTAAGATGTCTGCCATTTCCCAGTTTTCTAAAACTTCCTTAACATTTGAGCATTGCTCTGCAGGTTTAGCGTGGGCCGTTCAGACCAACTGTTCAGAACGCTGGCTGTGTTGGTTACTTCTGTTCTGACACAGTTGTATGTTTCTGTTTGTAGACCGGTTGGTTTTACCTCTGGAGTTAATAACCTAGTTATAGAAGCAGAATTTAAAGTTTAGCATGAAGTTTGCTCATGGAAACAGCAGCACAAAAAGGATTTAATTTCTGGTTTGTTGCTTTGATTTACTCTCAGCATAGTCCAGCAACATGATATCATAAATTTAGGTTTAGGTCTTTTTGTACTGAGTAAAAAATGCCAGTTTGGGCAAAAATACCACAAAAAGGTCACACAGTACAAACTAACAATCCAGAATAAACTTACTCTCCTAGGCATAATTTATCAAAAAGGTTTAACCGATTAGTTTTGTACCGGCAGTCTGTGTGCCAGATTAGGTGTATCAGTCCGTGCCATTCCAACGTGTCATCAAATCCTTTTTCTTTCCACGCCCAACGTAAAGCTCCTGTACAGTCATAAAGCCACTGTAAGCTCCATGCCGGGTGCTGTGAGCCTGCTCCCTGCCCAGATCACATCCATGCTGCCGCATTAACGACGGTGGAACCACGGTCTCCTTTGCTTTAACACTGGAGGCGAACAGCAAGGACGGAAGGTCTTCATGGCACGGCCATGAACATCAATACTTCCTTTACCAGCCGCTTGGTTTTGGTCACAGATAAACATAAGAGCTACTTCTGTGATTTAGAAGAAAATTCAACCAGCCGTGGCTGCCTCCCCATTGATTTGACAGGTGACTTCCTAGTCTTTCCACTTATTGTTGCATACAGGAATATTTAATTGCTCCTTCCACTTGGCCTGAAGGACAGGTGTTTAGAATCTCCATAGGTTACAGCCAGGTCTGTGATTTTTCTACAGGTTTGCACAGTAACAGCCATTTATTCTTTCAGCATAACCCACAGCAGTTTATCCTATCTATTCAGAGGGACGTGATCATTTATCTAATGATTATTTAGGTCAGTTTGCAGTTTAAGGAACGTTTTTAGAGAAGTCAAAATGTTTGAAAAAATATGTGAAGAAGAAAGCATAGCAAATAGAAATCAAAAATTACTAGTGAATTGTAAATTTGTGCTTATTGCGGTGCACATTTTGATCCAAGCTTTCAACGAAACTGCTTGTCATCCAAGTTGTTCAGGAGATGTTGACAGACTCTTCAAACTAATTCCTTTTCCTTTTCCACAAATGTACAAAGACTTCTCACAGAATATAGAAAGAGCAAAACAATAACTGCAGGGAGACAGGCAAAACCTTTCAAGGTAACTGACAGAAGCAACTGAAGCACAAACGTTGCTGGGAATGGAGAACTTCTGCTATCGGACACAGACCCTTGAAAGAAGACTGAGAGCTCCTGAAATGTGTTGCAATTTTTAGTTCAGAAGATGGGGAAAACTATTGGAAAAACTATTTAAAATCTTGATTAATACAGGAAAACTTGGAGGTGGTGTGATTAACAGGTAATGAGAGAGAAAGAAACACACTGATAACAGGAACACATTCTATTTATACCCATTGGAAGTAAGAGCAAACTGAAAATCTTATTACTGACAGAAAAGGAGAACAAAGGCAGGCACCACAAAAAAAAAAAAAAAAAAAAAAAAAAAAAAAAAAAGGTGCCTTCTTTGCTTCAGCCTTCAAATAAAGTGAATCACCACCAGTTCCTAACCACAGCCTTTTTAGGAGGGTGACAGCAACAGGTAGCAGCAGGGAAGAGCAGACTAAATTGTATTCGGTTACGTGGTTACAGTGAGGTTGGCAGTGCCTGGAAAATGCATTCCCCAGCATTTAGGGGGCCAGTCACAGACATTTATGAATAGTTGGGTGTTTATCAACGAAAAAATCATGGCATTGGATGGTTCTACACTGACTGGAGGAAGGAGGAAAAAAGTGGATGTATGGATGGAAAACTGCTCAGCTGAACTCTAACGTCCAGGAAGATAATAAACTACTGACATATAAGCACTTTGAGGCAATGTAAAAAAGTGACAAATCAAAAAATCACCATGAATTTGTCAAGAGTAGAGGGAACAGCTGTTCAGAGAGCGGCATTGAAAGGGATCCAGGGATTACAGGGGATCAGAAAAAGAATCTGAACCAACATGGTGATGCTATTGGAAAGTCGGCAAATGCCACGCTGAGATAGGTTACCTCATTAACCTGATTATTGGATATAGATGTAAGGAAGAATGCAAAGTTGAAAAGAGTCTGGAACAGCCTAGGAATGATAAAAGATTTAGAAAATACGGCCTATGAGGTCATGAAACCTATCGCAATTTGTTTAGCCTAGAAAAATGAAGTTTAAGGAAGACTATTATAGTATTATGTGAAATGGTACAGTATCTAAAATGCTAGTGTAAACTGATGCTTATTGGGCTTTTGTATCTGCTAGACAGCAAGCAAAGAGAATTCAGAGTTTAGATCCTGGGGAAAACTTTGTGGGTTTAAGGACAGCTGAGTGCTGAAAAGTGCTTGTCTGGGAAGACTAGAGAAATGTCCTTAATTGCAGAGTTTTAGAAATTAAGACTGGCTTTTGGCAGGAACAGTCACACCTCAGAGCAGCAGTTCCTGCTTTTTAAATCTTGGTCGCAAAGCGCTTCGGTCCAAAAAGTGGTTAATACACACCTTGTGCGTTCCCCAAAGAAATACACAAAGGAGCTGGCTGAAACGCCGACAGAAATTGCTGTTAGCTATGATGGAAACAAGAGCAAATTTTCCTTAATCTGTGCAGAAGACTCGAGCCTTCACCTTAGGGCCTACCTCACACTCACAGGCCCAGCTCCAGCAAAGATCTCGCACACTTCAGCCGAGATGCAACAGACCAAAAGGCAACTTAAAGAGCCCCAACTGGTCCCGAAAACCCCTGCCCAGGTGTCGCGCAGCCCCTGAGGCAGTTACACCCCCACGGTCACAACATCTGCACCCCGCGGGGCCGGGGCGGACAAAGGCCGCGGCCCGCTCCGCCGGCGGAGGTAACCCTGGGGCTGGGGTAGGGGCGTTCTGACGGCCCTTTCCAACAGGTACCGCAAAGGCGGGACGTGGCGGCCGCCGCCGGCCGGCCCAGCTCCCCCCGCCCGCGCCGCCCCGG